TTGAATACGCATACGTATTCATCTGACGATTCGTGTCACACCCGTTGTATGCAGGTAGAACTCGTCAAAGCAAACTCCAAATTTCTCTACCATTTCGCAGGCAATCGCGTAAAATTGCGCGTGTCCGAGCATTGGTACCATACTTTTACCTTAATTTCGACACACTCTTCACAATGTGTGAAGATCATTCTATTCGATTCGGCGACGCGCCACGATCGCGCGTAATTCAGTTGGAACGAATATTTCGAGCAACGACGACGGCTGTTTTATCGCCTCGAGGACGGGAAAAGTAAAGATCGCCGTAAGCTACGCCTCTGACAAGAATAACATTGTTATTTTCGCAAGCGCCATCGAACGTGGCGCGCGACGCGGAAGTTTCCGCGAGGTAATTTATCCTCGCCGTGGTGTTCCAGAAACTGTGTAAACGTATGCGATGAACGAAATCCGTGTCGGACGAGGACACGGGACGAGCTCGAACGGCGAGGTATCTGCATACGCTATTACGTTTCCTTTGCCGACAATGGCGGTATCGCGTTATTCGGATACGTATGTCACGACGGGCAAATAGCGCCGTCGAAATCGCGAATTGAGATCGTCAATATCAATCTCGTACAGCGAGAAAGAGAGAGAAGGAGAGAGGGAGAGACAGCAAGAAAGGGATATAAGCGGATCGAAAGGGGCGACGAGCGAATGGAAAATAACGATTGCCTGATATCAGTCGGCAGGAAGGCAATAAAATAAACCTCCTCGCGAAGTCTGCGCTCTATAAAAAGAATTCGCCGCCCGCGCCCATATAGATCGCTGAAAAGTGCGATCTGCCAAATACCATTCGTTGTATTCCGAAAAAAAGCGTGGGAAATATTTTGATATTTGAATTCTCCGGAATTTTCCTGCGAGATTGTCGGCTTGTCTGTGTCTCACGACTTTGCGTATAAAGCGCCTTTTCCCATGTGTATGTAGGTGTTTGTATGTGTGTAAATCTTTCGGCTATTTTTCCTATAAAAATATTGAAACATGGACCATATTATGTAATGCCATATTTGTACATATATATCCTTTCATGAAACATGTCGCGATTTCTCATTCAAATTCGGGAGAAGAATTTCATGGGAAAACGCACGCAAAAAACGACTTAGTAATATCAGCTAAACCAGTAATGACTAATTTTCAGTAGCTGATTCAAACTTAATCAAAAGGCTAATCGTTTAGCTGTCACTGCTAAGAATTGGCTATGACAGCTAAAATGCATTCGCTATGAAATACAAATATATTAGGTAACATTAAAAATGCAAATTATTTTAAGTAGCTAAGAAAATTGCAGTTATTTCTAAATTTCTTATCGTATGCATATATTAAAGAAGTTTGCTGCACAGCTACAATCATTTGTTACAATTATTTATTTCTAGTAGCTAATATTTCTTGCTGTAGCGAGAAAAAGTTTAAACAGCGAATAAATTTAGCTTCGATATTAGTTGTCTCTATTTCAGTAACACATTTTATCTGCCACAGCTATTTTTTAGCTTTGGAAGCTAGTTTTTTTTGTGTGCGTCGACATGAAAGTCATTGATCGGAAAGTTTCTCAATTTTTACACTCCAAAATATGCAATCTCATCCTTGGTGGAATTCTTTCGTATATAGCTTTAAGAAGCTTCTTCTAAAAACAAATTCTTCTAAAATTCTGCTTCTTCTAAACTTTTTCTATAAAAACAAATTCTTCTAAAGTCCAAAGTAAGATGTTTTACCTCTAAAAAAAGGAATTCTATTTGCAAAGTGTTGTTATTTGTAATCCCATATTCTAAATGAATACGTTTACTGAAAATGTATTCTTATGATGAAGTGGACTATTAATCGGAAAGTAATTGGATATTATTCTAACTTTTCTTCCTTTCGAGTAAATATTTATCCGAAATAAATGCCTTCTCACTAGAAGAAATTTCTATCTGAGAAGACTTGTACTGCAGATATAAAGGAGGGAATCCCTTTAACTTTAAGAATATTGCGCTTAGAATATTTTTTCTTTTGATTTTAGAAGAATCCTCTTGAGATTACATCTAAAAGAGTGAGGTTATATTTTTTTTAATACAATGCCAAATATTCTCGTAGTTAAGACCGAAATAAGGAGTCTGTTAAAGTCCTTTTCGATGAAATTCGACAAGGAATATATGAAATTACGACGATGTGAAGCTGTCGTGCGCCTCACTTTTTCCCCGCCTTGTGCGCGATTCGAAAGGCAACGTTGAAAATTAAATCCACAGGATTAAGAGAGGATGACTGACATTAACGATCAATAAAATCGCTATCCGAAAGATTTCCTTCGCGATGTCCTTTCACTGTCGTCTTCGCGCGACTAGTTATCCTTGATGTTCAACGAGCCCAGGCGCCGTCCTTCGCGCCAAAATAAAGTTCCGGTGCTGCCGCGAAAAACGCGAGCCAGGCGTTTCACTCAAGCCAATAAAATCTGCCGTTTCCGCGCCGAAAGTGTCGTTCCGTGCGAAACGAGCCAGGCGTTTCGTTCCTGTTTCTCAGCCGTGCTACGCCGCGGCGTTTATTATTGTTTTCCGAAGCGCGTCATAAATGGGCTTGTGAACGCGAAACGTTGGCATAATCCCGGAATATGTTCGCAGAAATACATATATCGAGCGATATCAGGCATGTCTCATGTGCTCGTTATGGATTTGCCAGTCGCGCTCGCTTGCGAGAAATTTTTCCGAAAGGCGAACACGGTCATTGAGGCAGCTTGCGTTTTCGTGATCGCGTAATGACTCGCCGGGGATATTGCGAAATTGTTCCATACTCGTTCGCGTGACGTAACGAGCACGTTTCGTTCGTGGACTCGCCTTCCTCTTTTTCCTCCCCCTGAGCGATTTCCAATACCTCGGTTGTTTTTTTCACTTATCCGGCGGGATCGACACCGACTCGCGCTGAGCTTAACCCTTAAACGACAAGGTGAAATTATGGAGGAAATATAATAACGATTCGGGTCATGTACGGCTCCAATATCTTTTCAGTTCATTTCTTTTGCTCCGCGCATTAAAAAATTTGCATTAGGATAAATAAACAGCAATTCAACAGGAACAAACTTTTTATTATGTAAAAATGTTTTTTCAGTGTTGTACCTGACTGGGGCAAATCTATCATAAAGTTTCAGTGAATTGCATTAAAAAGTATGTATCGAAGGAAATCATCGTTGGTCCTACCTTGTCGTTTAAGGATTAATCGGGAAGAATATTTTGCGACGTGCTTTATTCGATCGATCACTTCAAGCTGGCCACGTTGGATTCAAATAATTCGACTTTACTGAAGACAGTTATTTTTATGCGACAACAAAGCTCGACTTTATTCGCACGCGCGTGTCTAAGGATCGTACGTTCGATCTTTTGACAGTTGGCGCAATTGACCGTCCAGTCGAGTCGATTAATCGTACATCCCGGTGAGATGCGAGTCGGCCGGGTTTCTCCACGTGAAGATAAGCAGATACTGAAATTCACGAGCCTCGGCGGCAAGGCCGCGTCGACTACTTTTTCACTCTCTTCACAAGCTGCCTTCTGGAAATCGCGAGCGCGAGGAGTATCCGCTAAATTTCACGGAGCAGGCGTAAATATTTGCGCAAGACAAAGGTGGCGCCGCGGCCGATGTCCTGCGAGATGCGGACGCGCGATATGTTTACGGATCCCTCGATCCGTCGCGTCGGCTGGCCGTGTGCGCCGACGAATAAACGTTATTTTTCATCGTGGAATGCCCACCGCGAAAGCCATATTCGCCCGGTCGGTGCAAGGCTGCCGTTGCTGGTGGCGAGCCTCGGGACCGTGGCCGTCGTTCGGCTGAATTTAGGGGAACCATCAACGGCCGGCCTCTCGTTAGTGCCGCCTCGGCTAACCTGACCAGACTGCAGGACGAGCCTTTGTTAATCGGTGAATCGACTGGGCCGTGAGAGTACCTCTGCTCGCACATGTTTCGCGGGTACACGAAGATACAATTAAACTCGCGCGCCTCTGCGACGCCCGGCGGGCTCTGTACGCGTCTTCCTTCACGATTCTCGCTTTGATCGATCTCATTGCGTTTTCTCTCGTTTTTTTTTTTGACCGACTAAGGGCCGCTTTTTCAATAGCAGTTTAAACTTGGATTCAAGTTTAAACTCTATTCTAACAATGTGTTTGTTTTGTTTAAACAGAGTTTAAGTTGAAATCTAAGTTTAAACTATCAATCAAGAACCGGCACTAAATCGTTTCATGCACTAAGAGGAAAGATATCTAAAAAGTGTAGATATCTAGAAACTTCATTCGGTAGATACCAATGCCATATTTGCTCCAAATCTTTCCATTTAAATAGAATACAATATTCTTTCATGCAAGGAATTTGAGGAAAATGTAAATTTTCTCACTTGAAAAAATATTTTCTCATTGAAAAAAAATATGTATATCAGTGTGAGAGCAAATATGCCATTGATATCTCCCGAATTTTTATTCTTTAAATATTTTTTTTCTTAGTTGTATATGTGGAAGTTGGTATCGCGGGTTACTTGTAAGCGATGCAAGTGTCGCGACGTTTCGTGATGCAATAAAAGTATGCGATGTAATTGGTTTTTACACGTATAACGTTCGATTTAAATAGATTTCGTAGCGTCCGCATCGCGATTCCGCTTGGCGGGAGGTAAACTGGCGCAAATTGAATTTATTACCGCTCCGTGTGCAGTCGTGAGAAAGAGTACGATGCGTTTTGCCGTGGAGAGGGACTTTTGGTTAGCGTGCAGAAGCGCCTTTTGCGACGCAAAGGGAGAACGAGATCGTCGTCGCTTCGTGCAGTTCCTGATGAAATTCACCATCCGCGAACGGCGCACGCGAACGGGCAAACATATTCATTCGCAACGCGCGGGACACACCGGATTATTTTCACGAAAACAGTCCGAGTTTAATCGCGAATGTGACCGCGTGAAATACGGTGCGCGCTCGTTCCTTCTTATGAACGACAAGAAGCGAAGAGATGAAGGGATGTTTACTTACCTCTCGGTAGTGCTCTTCACAAATTCGCCCTTCCAGAGACCGCATGTTAATTCGCGGGCAGTCACGGCGAAAAAGAGAAGATTTATGGCCAGAAGTACTCCGACCGGTCCGAAGAAGTACGCCAAAATTTCCATATCACCTACAAACAGAACGAATAAATCGAATCTTTAGATCTTCTAATCTCCTCTTCGAGGTTCGATCGCAGACCGTTTTACGACACATTTTATGCGACACGTGATTTCATTCACGTATACGCGTAACGTAACGCGTAATAGTAATGCAATAACGTATAGAGAATATTATAGCTTCTCTTCGTATAAATTCTTCTTGACCTTATATCACGTTTCTAGTGATGCAGGAACAGACTGTGAATAAGGTCTATCTCGCTAAGAAACACAATGATTTTCGTTAGAAACATAACCAATTTTGTAATAACATATTTTAGTTTGTAAGATATAAATAGCACACACACTGAAAGAGAGAGAAAATACCAAATATTCATTCGACGCGCGAGCGCATACTAATATTTTTACTTAAATTTAAATTATTTTATGTTTAAATAAAATAGACAATTGCTTTTAACAGCTAAGCTTTTAAGAAATTCCTATTTGAGAAATATTTTATATCAGTGCAAGTAAATATCTAATCAATACTCACCGAATAAGAGTTTAATATTCCTTAGATATTTTTTCTCTCAGTGAAAAATAATAATGAAAGGATAATGAATTACTGCAGAACGTTGATTTTTTGGTTACAAAATTCTGTAATCAGTCTTGCTAATAGAATCTTCTCCTTGCATAAATGCTCGACGATGGGCATTAATGTATCTTCCACAGTTTGCCTCGCAAAAGCAACGCGCTCTATTTCCATCGTGTTATTTTGCAAACTTAAAATCCCTATTTGCAAATGTCGATAATAGCAGCTGTTATTGTCTAAGCGATTTAGGGCGCATAATACGTTCTAAAATTAATGTTCGCACGAGCGCGCACGAGAAGCAGATAGAGATACAGGCTGCTATTTTGGATTCGCTAATGACCGATCGACACGAAACGGTCCTTGCACCTGGATTAATCGTACAGCAATCCTCTTCCCCTCTCTCTCTCTCTCTCTCCCTGTTTTGTCCGCGAAATGACCTCAGACCAGGTCAATACTCCGGATTTAAGCGGATATCTGGATCGTGACTGTTTCGATTTTAAACTCAGATTCAATAATAAACGAGACGCGGTCGGCTGAATGTGTGGATCACCAGATTTATCTTCGGGATGCTTAATTCGTGGCATCACTTGAGAAACAGCCATTCGTTTTTTATCATCTTGAAGCGACGCAGCTCATCTTTTACTGTTGTCGCGATGTCTGATTAATATTTCGTCGCAGCCTGTACTGACGCAGCAGATGTCTAAATTTCTGGTCGCTCTTGTCGGAAAATCCAGTGTTTTGAATCACATACGGAAAAAAATATTTGGTTGAATTAACCAAATATCTGGTCGAATATGAACGATCCAGAAATTCCGATTGAAGTAACCCGAATTCTGTTTAAGGTAACAAGATTTTTGGTTGACTTAAACAGAATTCGAATTTTTAGATCTTTCATATTCGATCAGATACTTGGTTAATTCAACCAAACCTCTTTTCCGTGCATGAAATGGTCTTATGAGTGCTCTCGAAACGTCAGAGAAACAACGATTACTCAGCGCGCGCGGCGCAAAATATTATGGAATTCCGCATTAATAAAACTGGCCTTGTAGCAGGAACATAATAGTTATTATTCAATTTCAGGCCATTATATATGAAACTCTGTGGCGTTTTACGTTTTATCATATGCAATTTACGAAATACCATGCTGATAGCGAGGACATTTGTACCGAGTCGCATGCGAGCGCGTTCGTTGCGTTCGATCGATTATTTAATTTCAGGTCGAAATACACAAAGCGGGACGATACAATCAGTCGATGTCTTTCGGATGATCGCGACTGCAACACGCGAAAGCGAAGGCAAGGTTCCGAAGGGCGACAGGTATTCTTAGTTTTGTAAAGTACGCAAGCAGAAATAGATCGACGATTTATGAAAAACAAATAAATCGCTCGGTGTCGACTTGCCGACACGGACAGTTTATTTTCTTGTTCATATCGCGCGCGCGTTACGACAAAAAGAAAATAAAAGTGTGCGAAATGGTGTGCGTTGGGCCAGAAAAGCCGGGCTTTTGAACGGCGCACGAATGCGCGGCGCGTCGCGCCCCTCATTTATTTTTAATTATTTATGGCGCCATACGAAAAGGGAATCGAGCGATCGAGCGATAACCAATGGGGCGAGACGTACTTTGTTTTCGTTATCCAATAATATTCGATAGCCGATACTTTGTTGCTGCTACCGTTGCGCATTTGTCTCCGCACTCCGCTCGTTGTTTATATACCCTTCCTCCTCTCCGCGTTATATGCAGGGCGCGTGTATGCATTTAGGTGTCCGACCGCTCGTGGAACAGGTAGAACTCGTTAAATGCAACAGGAAAGTCATGTACCGTTTTGTAAACTGCTGCGGTAATTATTACGAGACGTTAATGAGAGAGAAAATCGGCGAGCAAGTACGTGCAATGCGACGGGATGAGCTTTCCAGGCAATCCGAAAGAGACCTGAGAAGTCTTGTGCTTGTTAACTATTTACTGGCGACAGTGAAAATCGAATGACAGAGAGAGAAAGAGAAAGAGAGAGAGAGAGAGAGAGAGTAACATCGTGAGGAACGAGCGATTCTACTTCACGTATAATCTTACCGCACGTCTATATTAACAAGATGATCAGGATTCGATAAGAGGTCAGGAGACAAGGCCAGGACATTACTTTTCCGACTGCTTTACAGAACTCGTTCCACCACATCGTACGCACTAATTGATCAATTTTGTTGTTCCTTTCATTAATATACTGCTTTGGATTTGTACTGCGAAGCATCAGCTGTATGTTTCTGACGGGCATAAAATGCGATTAAAATGCCATTAAAATGCCATAAAAGGAAAAGTAAAATGACAATAATGTCAAAGGACATTATGTCAAGGAACATGAATATTCCTGTACATGGAAATTCGTGCGATCGAATTTTTTCACTTTCTTCGTTACATCGAAGTTTGCCAAAGGCGCATTGTTTATTTTCCTTCAGGATTAATATTTATTTAAATCACGCATTGTCATTTCGGTTGCTATCGTAACCACAGACCGCAAATCTGTGAACGGTGGCTCGCAATTGTCACAAATTGGAGCGCCTCTAACTCCACTGGATAGAAAAACGTATCCAACCGTTTCGCAACAGACTCTACGTACGTGATCATTCGCGTACTAGCATCTAGGTGAGCGGCTCCGCGATGAAGGTGCGAGGTCCCACCTTTCCGAAGACGAAGACAGGCGACGGACGCGTACGATCGGGCATGGCAAAGTTTACGCGCGCGAGGGGGTTATAACGAGGGAATTCCAGCGATCACGCGACTACTGCGATTCCGTCGAAATTGCGCCCGCTCTAGGAAGGGCCGGTATGTGTTTAGCAGAAATTATGGTAAATCACGCGGGGCGTGCACTTATCCAATCGCGGATCGGTTTCCCGGTTCCACGCCCGGTGCAAGGCTGCGCGATTCCCTGAATTCCTGAGATATGCACGCGCTGGTACGCGCGCGTACGCTCTCGGGTTTCAAGTTCAAGACAGGTATATCCGGCGGAGGTTTAACGCTGTTCGTTAAACACAGATACTCGCGAAATACGCGAGCGTGCGAGCTCATATTTGCCTTACGTACGCAAACGTCGTTTATGGTCGCCTTTCGGCGCGCGAGACAAGGAATACCGTGAACTTCGATCGCGACGTGCACGAGAGAGAGAGAAAGAGAGAGAACACGGCGAGGTAAACGTGACGTGCGATATTAACGCGACGCAATCGCCGCGCTCTACCGCGCTTAGAAAATTATAGCTCCGTGTGCATAGATATTAACGCGCGCGCGCGCGGACAAAACTTTACGATCGTTAATCAAACGCCCGGCAGACGCGTAATCGTAACGTGAGGAGGAGAGATCGTTAGGGGAAGTTCGATCATTATTTACGGGACCGCGCGCGAGCTTTGAGCGAAGAGGCGGCGAGAGTGAGCCTCGCATGCAAGTTTTGCCTCGTCGGTTCGATCGCCGGCGCTTCACGGTAATTTGACGATAGAAATCCCGGTCGACTCGACACGGTCGACTTGCTTTTATCGGGGCGATTCGCCCTCCGCGCGCGCGGCCGGTCCCGGCCCCATAACTACGGATGCAATCTGCCAGAAACAGACTTCCATGAGGATTCCGTAGCCACTTATCGGTGCTGGGGCACCCGCGTCCGCAAACAAACCCATAAATAAAATCCTCGTGGCGACATGAACTTCGCGGCAGCGGCGGCGGCTATTCTCTCTCTCCCTTCTTTCTCTCCCTCTTTCTCGCGGCGCGGATATTAAATTGCTACTGACCCAGAGATTTTTCGAGAGCTTCTCGAGAGCGACGGGATACCGGTAGTTGCTGCACGACGAACACGATGGTACTCGCCTGTCCCTTGGTCAATCGATCACCGTGAGGATACGCGGTTTTTCGAAGCGAAAATTGTATCGCCGCGCGCGCGATAGATTCCCGACTGAAATAAAACGTCGGAGCAACGACCCGAAAAATTCCGCTAGCGCGAGAGCTCTGTCTAACACGGCCGTATAAACACACGACACGGGATCATTAATATTTTTGTAATGTCGTAACGTTACCATCGGCTAGGAAATTCGAGAACACGGGTTTGTCACGAGCTGCTATCGGCGTGCTTGCGAAATTAGATCGGTTTCGTAATACTCGCGGAATCGCTCGTCCAGAGGCACCGAAATACATTCTGCTCGATCAAAACCACAGCTTTTGATACATCACGAGATGAATTTATTTCAATGTTTATAAATTCAAGGCATATACGGAGAGAGAAAAAATAGTATTTTCTTTTTTCTTTTTAATATAAATTCTTTTCACTGTTTTTAACAGCGCAGCAATTGACTGTCAGTGAGGTCTATCTTGCTGAAAAAAATAGCAAATATCACTGGAAATATGATGGATTTTTTAATAGCACATTTCAGTTCTTAAAATATAAGCGGCACATGTGAAAAGTAAAAGGATAA